CGGCGCACCTCTTCCGACAGAGGGCTTCGAATGGTTGCTCGTATCAGGGGCCGGAATTCGGGACAGCGAAGGTCAACACTTCGATCCCGACCCGCCCACTTACATGCTCTCGTATGCTCGGTCCATAGGGTCCATCGTGAATTTTTCACAGGTATTTACAGCTTCTTGGCAGAAAACTGCAGAGAACAGGGCATGATTGTCGAGAGTGCTCAACTTAGGGACTGCCCACCGGGCTTAGCAGGCTTCCCAGGTCCATTAGAATTGCACTTATCGACAGCCGCTATACACTCCCTCAGGCCAGTCTTCATTATATCGAGCCTGGGAAAATTATACGACCAACGCACAATGTGGAACCAGGACTCCCCCTGAGGTAGAAGTTTCCGATCTCTGGCCATCTCGTAAGCTCCGTGATATCTGGCAAGATGAGCCAGGCAACAATGTAAACTCGGGTTGAATGGATTGCATACATCTCGTACGGTCCAACTATACCAGAATACATCATCACTCCTTTCAAATCGATCTTGAGCTGAGGATTTCGCAGAATGCCATCTCCCAACATAGCAACGGCGAGGGCTGCAAGATGGTATCACGCGATCTATCAGCCCGGCATGCAATACCAGACCATGAACCCCCGACGAGGTGTACATTCCTGTTCAATTTAGGGTACTTCTTGAATAACTGACCGCTTAAAGTGACCCTGTGGACGATTATTGTGACGTGTATATTCACTGGTCTAAAGAATCCTTACATGTTGCCTACAAACTCCTCCAAGGTGGGCTCTATCGGGCCCGTGCTAAAGCCGGTAGGTCCAGGTGCATCGATCCAAATGCTGTTGGCTTGCTTAGTCCACGAGTATCTAACTCCGAACGGTCACACTGCGTGACACCATATAAGAACATTCGCACGTATTAACCAGAAGCTCTTTCCCGTTAAGAGACATCATGCATGGTCCATTCCAAGTCATGGCCACTCCCAAGCTGCTAGTGCCCGGTCCACCAGCCAGATACCAGAAGGTCGGCGCCAATGATGGATCTACATCTTCGGCTTCCATAACCGCGTAGAAGTACCTAGAGGCAGCGTGACCTTGATTCTCACTCCGCAGGCTGAATATACCTACTTATTCTTTCTGAGCACGCCAACTGGTATGTATCCGAACTCCTGTTTACCCTTGCTGAATGGACACAAGGGCCCGCCGCCATTCAGAGAACGAGGATGGAGAAACGCGGGCGTCTCACCTGGAGATAATCGATGGACGGTCACGGCCTCAGTTCAAACACGGTACTTTCGTTCCTAGGGCCGCCGGCATCAGTGATTGCTACTATGCAGAATGCGGCAATCAGAGCGATAATCATATTGATGAGAGACAAATAATTACGGTGTGCTGATCACAGTTTCGCACGTCACGGGAACTCACAGGGAGCATGTTTAGAGCTTCGGTCGGAACACTGGTTGACTAAAGAGTCATAAGATGAATGCGGGCGCTTGTCTTTGTGCAACAGCACAAACACGACGCCCCGAGATATATACACAAATGATCATCGTAAAATCTAGAGTTGCATAGCGGCAGTAGAAGACTGGTGCAACGCTCAATGGTCAAGATCAATAGCACGGGATGTGTCTTTCGCCCACACTCACGTACGCAAGCACGACGAGGCTCCACGGAGGACTCCTTCGGGAGGAGTGTATCGGCACGCAACACGTGCGGATCCACTTTGATTTCATCACTTTTCGTGCACATGCTGCGAGTATTTTACATGATATTGAGAGTTTTGTCGGGTGTGACTCGTGAAGTGTTGAAGGTTTACCTCATATAACAAGTATTGCAACGTTTATATTCCGATACACTCTGTTTCTCGGTGTAAAACACGGGTGATCTCGCCACGCGAGGCACACGCGTGTATTTCTCGTTTCACGTGACGGGAACCCGGATAGGGCTACTTGTCTAGCCCTAGATTGTATGCTCTAGCCTAGACTTTAGGTTTTCTGTGGGCCTGATGGAGTCCGCCAGGTGGACTATGGGCCCCCAGAACTTTTGGGCTAGGAGAATTGCTTCTTTGACCCGCCCATTCCTTCCCGGATAAAGGGGTGACTCACCCCGGGTGAGCCTTCGTGGTGCTTCGTCTCCATGGCGTTCACACCCTCAGTCTACGGAGCTCGTTTGCTTGCGTCGCCTGTTTAATGCGCGAGTTAGCGAGATCGTTATCAGAGTTTAAATGCAGTATCACGACACTTCACATGAAACGATTGAAACTCCATTGTTCCATGCTCGCTCCCTGAAAATGTCACTTTACATCGAGGAATATCTCCTTCACGTAGGCTATGTTTCCAGAATACGGCCCGGCACGACAGATTAAATGGCCTGAACGTTACTACGGTCCTCCGGGAATTTTCAGCACCACGAGGTTCCGACACCACCGAGAATGTACGCTCGAATGTGACATCGAAACCGACATCAATCGGGTTGAGACGGCGATGGTGCAACCCAACCTTGAAGGATCCCCAACAGCCAACATTAGTAACAGCCCTCCTCGCAAAGCCCATATATGATCCATCGCTTCTGGCGAGTTGATTGAGTCAGCGCACCAGATCTACAATCATGCGTGATAATTCCCCTGTATATAATATACACTGTATATTATACAGTATATTGGCCCATCATACCATTGATACAGTAAGTCTTACTGAGTAAGATTCAGGTGTTCTGCTGATGTATGTAGAATCAATCATCCCCAGCTCATCTACTCTGCGTTGTAGTGGATACGTAAAAGATAGGCAAATCCCCTTTGGCATCTGTGACCACTGCGGTAACAATAGTGGTATCAAAATCAATGGCGGACAATGTGATTCGGCGAATAGTTACCCTTGTCCTCACGAGTCACAGTGCGAGTTCTGGGAACGAATGAGTCGGACAGTGTCTCTCGAGCTCCGTTTACTCTACCAGAAACAATCCGGATTTCCAATAAAACACAACAGAATATTAATGATTGGACCACTCACCTAGATGTGATTACACGATTACTCAGAAAATAAAATTCGACCAACATAGTTGATGCTAAGGAATACCTAAACTAGGCTAACAATAGTAGGGTTCACCTTCGCAGTCACTATCAGTGGGGGCAAAGCAAAGAGAACCATCATCCTTCTCGATGATACCGAAACAAACCGCCGGATTCTGCCAAGTCTTGCAATACGATCCCCACTTGGAATCGCGGCACTGAGACATATCATTGCAGACGTCCTGACAGGTGGGTGTGGGCTCGGGACAAGCCACCGGCTCCAACATGTAGTCATCACAGGTGTCCTGTTCGGTCGGCTGGAAGCAGTAACCATCATCCTTATGGTAGAGACCGAAGCAGACACCGTTGCCCTTGCAGTAGGAGCCATACTTGGAGTCAGCACAGGGAGAATAACCATCACAAATATCCTGACAATACTCGGCGACGGCAACGGACAAAGCAGCGATGGTGAAAGCGACCTTCATGGGGAAGAAGAAAATGCAAGTCAACTGGCGAAAGAATCAAGTATCGTGGTAAACAGAATTATATTGAAGACTATATTAACGTTTGAGACTACAATTCAACTCGTCGAGGACATTCCACAGTACTTAGTGAATAACCCAAATTGAGGTACCTTCCTGGAACACCCACTGCTGAGAGACCAACACGAGACGATTATTACATCCCCTCTCCGAAGATCACTTACCTCGAAGAACGAGCGCTAGCGAGCCATACGCAAGGAGCCATATTCAACATAACCCAATTGCACAGGATCGTTCTAATTTTTCAAGCCATTGCATGATTTTCAGCTCGGGGCCTGAACCGAATTAAATAAAGCGAATAAAGGGAAGAATGAGAAGAACCAAGAAGAGCCTATGCGTCAGACTCTTCTCGATCTCTAGTTTACGTTGACCAAGGCTAAATTTGTGATTCGAGCGTAGAACGCGTCCGATCTAGCGTGTCGCAAACTGGATGCCCGGTGAACGAGAAGATGTGTCGCCCAGTAGGCTTCGGGATCGAGATATTCGGTAACGCCTTTATCAATAGTCTTCGGTGATGTGTCCAATAGCTGGTATTGATATTGCGGAATCGACCCGGAATACTCTCGCCCGATGCGGAAGTAGGAATGCTCCCGGCCGGTAGTCCTTCGTTCCGCAGTATGATGATCTTGGGAGGTGTTCATCGAAGAGGCATCACCCAATGCCGATTGAGTCTAATTTGAATGGTTGACAACTGGTTCCATTCACGAAAGATGCATCGGGCCTACTCGGGAGTCTATCAGTGAAACGGTTTAACTAGGGGATGAAGAGTGTCCGTCGTTTATGGATTGAAATTCCGCATTAACGTTAGACGGGTGGTGAAGTGGCGCAAGCGTCCATCTCGGTCGGCCTCAGAAACTCGCAGTGACCTGCTCGCTGGTCCTGCACTTGAAATAACAAACCAGACTAAATCAGTTTCGCATTGCTCTCGAAGCAAACCGCGAACTCGATATAAACTTATCCGCGACCGCGTTTTGATGCTGAAGCCAATCCTGGATAGTTTTATCGACGGTGAAACCGTGACGGCCAGGACCAAGACCTGTATGTTAGGTATCCCGGCTAGCTTGCTAGCCAGGGTGAGCAAAGTGTTTCACGATACGAATCCTATGGTGTCGGAGTTATCTAGCACTTTATGTTTCATTCCTCGATGGTAGGAAGGCTGTTCTGTGACCTGAGTGCACCCTAGGCACCTTTCGTCTGTTAGTGTGCATTGATGCTTACCTTACAGTCCCACCGAGCCCACGAACCGGAACCACAGGCGAACGGGGTCTATACCTAATGTCTGGGTTAAGACCCGCGCTGGGCTATCCGCATCGCTTCTAAGGTTGTGCACCTCCTGTGTGTAGCCAAACGCTGGACCACTAGGCATGAGCGTTCACGAGGCAGCGAGGAGTGCTTCCGCGAGCTTCTGGCTACCTTGATCGCCTCCAGGTTAGTCGTGGACAGTACACCGAGTCACAGTTCCCATAGTCACGGGTTTCTTCCCATCGACAGCTCCTTCAGCAAAACATTTCGAATAATCGACGACCCTATTCGGAAGTTTCAGAGCTGTCAGCTTTTGTCGCGTAAGAACCAGATCTGATCCGCTTGTGGAACCGGATCTCAACGACGCTATTCTTATGCTACTGTAGTTGCGTTTTATGTCTTATGTGCAGTTGTAATTGTGAGGCGTTTCAGCAATCAGACGTACACCTCCAAACCCTCGAGATTTGTTCATCCCAGCGTTTTGTCAGTTCTTAACTCAATCGTTAACGACGACGCCTCTAACGATGACCGTCAGTCATTTGCTGTAACGAGCATCTCGAGTTCGGCCATGATAATATCGACAACAGTATGCTCCCTCAGAAATAGCTCCACTCATGTTGGACATAAAGACTGAGGGGCCATTCGTCAGGGCCCGTGTCGTATTTAGGGATACCGCATCTGCGATTAATCACATGGTTTCTCTCGGAACTGGGATGATGATGAAATTTTCTATCGAGGGTCGAGAGACGATTCGATCCACCCTATGAATAATGCAGCATGTGAATAACTTGAGGACTTGAACTCAACTTTCACTTGTACGTATGGCTACAAAAGTCCCGCATGTCAGCACGCGAACACATAAGTTTCCTCACGGAACCTCATATAGAGTTAGCGAGCCTTTTCGTATCGCACCTTGAGAACACCGATAACACAAAGGTGTGAGACCGGGAAGGAGGGTGCCTGTGACCGGTGATAGGATGTTCGCTAAGTGGCCCATTGTAAGATGGGGTGAGAGGCCGACCTAGTGCTTCCATGTGGCATTCATAGAACACCGATGAGGCAACTTGTGCTGGCCACACCGGGAAGGATGATGCGTACAATACTCAGTGAGTATTACTCACGCTTTGTAATGAGAGCCCAAATGTTCCTGAATTCTTGTAGCGTAACTCTACAGCTCAAGTTGCACAAGAACTGTCCCCTAGCCATGTTCTAGTATATCCATATTTGGATTGTCTTCAACCTAGACCAAGGAGTTGTTGAGAATGCTTCGTATCAGTGACTAAAACCATAAAACAATCCCAGATGCCGTACGTCAACGCCCTAGTGCTTTACAAAGATGCAGCGGATACCGGGCTTAAGAGACTGGGAAGTTTATTGTGTAAGTACAGCGGGTCGGACGTTTACAGCGTGAGCGTCCAACCTTCCGTGCTCAAACTTCCTGTACCACTAGGGATCTATGATCGCGACCCACCTCGCCCCCGTCGAGGTCTCCTCCTTGAACCGGGAGGGAACTGGGATGGAATGGGAACGACCGGCAACTGGAGATCTACTCGAAAGTTGAAATACACTAGGGGGTCGTTTGATAAACGACCTCCGATCTAATTCCGAAGCTCAGGAGCAATTCCAGAATCGCTTCTTACACGTTTAATACGACGCTAGATTCAATTCTGAATACTAGAATTGATTCAATGAACATGGGGTCGATCTACTCTACTAGGAGCCGTTTCATAATTGGCGTGCGCTACTGAAGATACTAATTATGAGGAGTATGAGCTCATCACATCTCACCAAGAGCTAGACTCGATAAGAAAAGCTGGTACCTGAAAGTTTACCTTCATGATGAGCTACGGCTGTTATCTTGCCAGCATTATACTTGCTGTGTTACTCCTGAAAAGTTGCCTAAGAAACGACACGTGTGAATTTCTCTACCAAGGAACGAACATGGACGAAGCGATGCTATATGAGACGCAACTCGTACTGTGACCTCCTGTCAGTTCCAACGAGAGGCAGATAATAATCAGTTATACCGATGTGATCGTTATTACTCGGGCGAGCGCTTTTTACAGCGCGCCCTGCAACTGAACACTGACTGCCGGCCATGACGCTTGTCATCGTTGACTTGCTTGTGAGTCTTCCATGTTGCCACTGACAGTTGCATATGTTTGGAGGAGACTATGAGTAGCCGATCATGTGGACTAAGGAATCGTTTCGATATCACGCTTGAATATTAATGATGATGTCTTTGCTGATGATAACGGCAAATTAAGATCTCTGATTTTTCCCATCGATAGGACAGCGACCAAAACAACTTCCTTTGTTGAATTGTCGCACCCCAACTCGGTGTGGGGAAATATACACGTAGTCAACTACATATGTAGGTCACATGTGTGGAAATTCTCATCGGTTTCTGTACACTTATACCCGAATTTGTATGTAAACACCTATAATTAGTGAAGAAACTTCTGTACTAGGCTGAGGAATACGATCATTCATCCTTACACTGCCCCAACTCTATAAATTGCCTCTCTAAAATGCTCTTTTCTGCTCGCTAGGCTTCGCAGGATTCGCCTTGCTAGCCAAGCTGTGGAAACTTGTCTCTAGCCCTCTCTGAGAAGTTTCTAATAAGGTTAATCGCAAATTGCGACTCGCAATTTTCCCGTGGTGGTAGTTTGTTGGTATTAGTCCGAATCGCTGAAGTAATGTCCTCTTCTACTGAGGAGCTTTTCTCCAAAATTGGTGTTCGCGTTCCCTATACGTTGTTACCAGCTGACGAAGTGGACAAGACCAAATGGGCTGTCATTGCTTGTGATCAGTAAGCAGTGAACTACTGGGGAAAGTGTTTCCTTTTTTCCATGAGGAGTCTTCACAGGTACACTAGTGAGCCCGACTATTGGGACCGTGTGGAAAAGTTTGTCGGAAGTGAGCCCAGCACTTTACGTTTGATGTTTCCCGAGGTCTATCTTGACAAGGGACGAGATGAAGAGGTGAGTTTTTGTGTTTGACGCCTTCATAATCTTCGCTGTGCGTAAGATTCTCAAGAGCATCTCTGACCACATGGCGAAGTACACTGCGGAAGGTATACTCGTGAAGCCTGAGAAGCCTGGGATGGTATTGCTCTCCCGAACGACCAAGACTGGGGCTACGCGCACTGGTTTAGTGACAGCTCTGGATCTAGAGATGTATGATTATTCTGTGGGGAGTCAGAGCAAGATCCGCCCTACTGAGGCTACTATAGAGTCGAGGATTCCCCCTCGTTTAAGTGAGTTGCCGTTTGCCTGTGTTTTTTCTACTTGTATTTTTTTTATCAGATGTACGTCGTAATGCTCCCGTTGAGTTGCCTCATATTATGGTTCTCATTGACGATTCGGAGAAGACCGTTTTGGAGCCACTCCTTGCCAAGAAGAACGAACTCAAGCAGGTGTATGACTTTGACCTGATGGAGAATGGTGGCCATCTTTCCGGCTGGTGGGTTGACGGTGAGAGCTCGCAAAGTGCCGAGGTTGCTAAGGCTCTCAATGTGATTGCTGAGCCTGAGCGTTTCCACAAGCTGTATGCTGCTCCTGAGGATAAGGAGCCTCTCATCTTCGCAGTTGGTGATGGTAACCACTCCTTGGCTACTGCTAGGGCCTACTGGCAGGAGATCAAGGCGACTCTGACCGATCCGAAGGAGATCGCTACTCACCCCGCGAGATTTGCCTTAGTTGAGATTGAGAATATACATGATGATGGATTGGCCTTCGAAGCGATTCATAGGCTAATATTTGATGCTCACGGAGGTAGCAGAAAATTTATCGCAGAAATGACGGAGTTTTTGGAGAAGGAAGGCTGTGGCCCAGTGACTGTCGGCGAGAGCGAGGAGGATTTCAAGAGAGCCGTCCAGGGTGAGGTCTCTGGCCACAGTTTTGGCTATGAGGTTGATGGTGTGAAGGGCGGTGTTTTTATTGCGAATCCTAAGAAGGTCTTGGATGTTGCTACTGTGATGGACTTTGTGGATCCTTATATGGAGAAAAATGAGGCTAATGGGACTAAGATTGATTACGTGCATGGTTTGACAGCAATTGAGAGGTCAGTGTTTGGGCGTGATTTCATCGAGGAGTGGTATCAGAATGTTGCACGCATGCACATGAGTTCTTTGTCAGGTACTGCTCGGCTGGTACGGCCAACGTTGGTATTGTGCTTCCCGATATGCACAAGTCGGATCTTTTCAAGACTGTTGTTCACGACGGTGCGTTACCTCGGAAGACCTTCAGCATGGGAGAAGCTGACGAGAAGCGATTTTATTACGAGTGCAGGAAGATCCGCAAGGACTGAGATCTGCCGCTGTCCCATGTGAGAGGAAATTATTCATAAAATTGTCTATTCTAGCTATATGTAGATTGTACTCACTCATCCATCCTGTAGTTGCAAACTTTTTTCTGCGTTTACTAGGAGGTCCTTGTCATCATTAATGCTGTGTGCTTCGTGATGTTATTCACCTGCTGAATCGTCGCTATCACTCTATGGTAGGAGTATTTTTTATAGTTGATTTATCATCTGTCAAGACTATAGTGTCAGTGTTGTGATGGTATGTGGTAGTAGGCGTAAAGCCGAGTTTATCGAGGTTGTGGCAGTTTCATGTGAAGTTGAGGCGTTCGTTTGAGTTTTCACGCGAGTATGACAACTATGTGTTGGTTCATATAGCCACCAGCTGGGAAATGGAAGGATGTTTTCACTGGTTCAATGGAGTTTAATCACCGGTTTTACGTGAAGTGGCGTAAAACTCGGTGAAAAACGCGATATTCGCGGCCTGTAGTAGTCGTGAAATATGTTATTCATATTACTAGGGTGGTGAAACTCCAATAAGTTTCCTTGGCGTGGTATCAAGGTTTATATTTCTCAGCTGAGTCGGAGCACCAAGAGCTGCGGAAACGAAATATTCGTCTTAGTTGATATTATCAAACACGAGGAGGACCGCTTCCACTACACCTCTTCCCGTGCAAGTTTGACAAGTGAGCAGACAAGAATGACAATGTTACAATCAACGACTTTGAGAATCCAAGTTTGTCACTTGTCTACTTTGTGACAACGAAGTTTGACGCCGTCAAATTGACGGTGTGAATCCATGTAAGTATTGCTGGAGACGCGACCAACAGCTAGGAACATGAGCGTGTCCATTGGGGTTTCACCGGTTTTACGTGAAGTGGCGTAATACTCTGTGATAAACGCGATATTCGCGGTTATATGCAGTAGTCGTGAAATATGTTTTTCACTAGTGTTTTTCATATCACTAGGGTCGTGAAAGCCCATCGAATGGAGATGCTTTGGGTTTGCATAGTCGTGATGATTGAGCGTTAGTTACGTATCATACTTCTGTTGGGATTCCGAGTTGTTATATCTGTACGTTCCGCTCGTACGACTGCTCGTGTTGCCGAGCTTGGGGCTTTCACTGTGCCGAAGTGTTACGAGCTTTTTATGACAACCATGCAGTCAAGTTGACTTCGTCTGTTGCAATGACACTCCTGCCCGGTATAGCCGATCTCGAAAGGCGACTCTATTTAGTAGTGGAAGGGTGTCGAAGAACTGACAACGTGGTAGCAGCCTCAAAAACGAAGGTAAGTCCAAGATTTGTATTTGTCTGTTACCGATTACGCAGCCAAGTGAAAAGGATACATTCGTCGTGTTGAAGACAGAGCTGCTGGAAGTCATGGGGAGGGTGCGAGAACTCCTCGAAGAAAGGAAGAAGGTGATCAGAGTGATCTGGCTATGGCTCGGGGAAAGTCTTTTCCGGATAGTTTGTTTATGGTTTTTGATTTCTATCAGCTCGGCAAGCATGAAAAGAGTGGCAGTAGTAGTTCACAGTACGTGAAGCTCTCAGTGCGGTCAAGAACTTTGATTGAACAATGTCGAGCGAGGACGATGCACTTACGGCAGGTGGTACAGTGAGGGACGACTTCTGGTGATGTCGGCATCTTGAACTACTCATCGGTGTTTTCGTATTCTACTACGAAGATATCGAATCGTAGGTTGTTCCTATCTCATTTGAGTTTCGCCACCCTAGTGATATGTAAGGCACTAGTGAAAAATATATTTCACGACTACTGCATAGCGCGGATATTTTACGCCCACTTCACGTAAAACGGATTGTGAAACTCCATTGATGAGAGCAAACACGTCAGGTTCTGCGAGAGCAATGTGCTCGTGCTAACGCAGTAGGGCTAAGGCTGAGTGCAAGGCTCAGTGAAAGAGAATTGGATCGGAGGTGATCCACATGGGTAGCCTTCACGGCTTCACAAGGAGAGTAGGTATGATCAGCTGTTGGCCTTTGGTGAATTCCTGGAGACTTGTTCGAAGTGTATGAAGGACTCATCACAGGTAGGAGGCTTTTGGGGAAGGGTAACCGAATTGCATCTGATGATGATGATGGAAAAATTGGTGGTTTAGAAGAGTCCTTATTTGACTATCACGGATAGGATTTGGATCTGTATAGACTCTCATCAGGCTGGGTAAGAGTCGAACTGTGCTTGCCCCACTGAGCAATGAGTAGCGTGGAAGCAAGTGCTTTATGGCTTCTGAAATCCGGGGCTGAGCCGATCGCGTAACGCTCGGTCGCAGGTCGAATTTTCGTGTGTCAGGAGGTACCTAGTCTTCCTCCGGAGCTCTCCGATAGCGATACGGATGTGAGAAGCGCTCGCAAGGAGTTGCTCGATGATGGAGTCTCACATACGTCGTTAGGGGAGAGCCGGCATAGGGTGAGATGCAGTTATGGAATGTATGCTCGCTTCCCTCAGCTGAGCTCAATAGTTTCTACGCAAACTATAGTCCAGTTTTGCATGCGAAGTTTGATGGGAGTATACATGTTATCACCAACACATGTAGTTGACCATGTGCATATCCCTCCCCCCTGGGGTTAGGACTCCCTTGAGGCCCATCGGGCTCCATCACATCGCATAGGGGAGTTCTCACCAGAAGAGGGGGAGGCTATGGAAGAGTGGACTATGAGAATGGATGATATCGATCAAGGTACTTCACTGAATGATTCGGTCAATACTCTACGAGTAGTAAAAGTGGCGAAGAGGGTTCCATGTCATGGAAAGAAAATCACTTCGCTCCGCTCATTGAGTTTGCGTTTGAACGTAGCTCAGTCTTCATAAGAAGCTTTACGGCTTCGATTACTCCGGCACTTGTTGAGTGCTCAGTCTACTACGACTTCCCTCCAAAAAGGAAGTTCTACAGAGTGTTGCAGAGAAAAGGACCACCCTTTGAAATTTTGTGTTGCGTGGCAATTGATAAACGAAATAGGTAACATTCGGAAGCTCTTTTCTATGTTGTACATGTTAATGTCAATGTCCATTCAATGTCAATGTTGCTAAAACGGTTCTGATATTCGAATTCAGCGCTGGGGTCTAACGTAAAATCGGCTACATTTTGTTCATCAACTGTCACGCACTGCGGAATCACACAGGGTGGGCTTTCTTTCGCAGCACCCGCCGCTGACGTTATGGTGAGAATTTGTGCATGCGTGCAGCTAGCCGTATTCACTGCGGTCTGGGAAGATGAGCCGACACAACGAAACTGTTTTATACATTCCTCGTGCCGAATTACAATCTTACATTTTCCGTGACGAACTCGAGATTAGTATAGTAGCTTTATGACTCCTCAGATATTGACGATATCGATGTGATGGTGGATCGGCTACGAGAGGTAGCGGTTGAGATTGGGGAGGCGGGGAAGCGGCATTCCGAGCTGATAGAGAGGATAAGGCAACGCAATGAGGACGTGGACGGAGGCATTCGGGTGGGTTGATAATGATAGTGAGCAGCATGCTTGAACTTGTGCGTGTCAAACAAGTGACGGATATTTTGGGCTCTTAGTGTTAGTCGCTTTTTGTTCATAATTTTGTAGACCGCCCCTCCTATTTGGAATCGTCAGTTTTCATGTTGGAGCTCCGTCGAGTTTCTGGCGATTCGTTGAGGCTCGCCGTAAGCGTGTATATCATTCGGGTTTCTGCTGGGGGGGGGGGGGGGTGGTACTGTCCTATGAGCAGTAGCCGTACATGATGATAATACGGCGTTCGGTGGGGATGGAGGCGCCGAGTTAACATCTGCATCGACTATAGTAGTATTCACCAGTACTGTCTTGAAATGGTGTAGAGGCTCTACAGTAGAGCATATGCGCACGCGTAGCTCCACACGGGAGATGTGCTACGATTCGGTGACGCCAAGCTGAAGGATTATTGCTGAGTTTTCGCTCATCAAACGTATTGGCTAAGTTCAGGCCGTAAGTGAGAGAGTTAGGAAGATCGTCTTCACCGAGAACAAAAGTGCTATGACATGTCGCATCATCCTCGGTTTGCTCTTACTCGTTATGGCGGGTTGGATCTACACTCGAGTGAAAGACTAACATCACAAGTTGACGTTGCATGCCATATACGTTGGTTGATGTTCTCGCTCTACGGCCCGGATTGCGTTTTTGATGACTGCATTTTTTGAGGTGAAGTGGCAGTGAAATATCGCGCGAATGTTTATCATTTCTTACTGGAGTTGCATCCGTTTTACGAGAAGTGGCGTAGTGATCGCTGCGAAAAACGTGATACTCGCGATGTGAAGTTAACTGAAAACACTTGGCGAGTTCCACCGGAGAGATGACCCCATTTCACGTGAAAAATTTCGAGTGTTTACGCTTACTGCTGCTTACTGATCATTATTCACTGCTCACATGCGTTGGCTTCGCGAAGTGAAATGTGAAATATTTCTTCACTAGGTCTTTTCATATCACGGGTGAAATTGGTATATGCTGGGGAATGGCAATGACGTCTTGAAGAGGTACTCGCTGTTGTTTTTTTGTTAGATTGAGAGCTCCAGCATATAATGATCACCAGCCCAGTGTATCAGCATCCCGCGGCGGCCCGCCTTAGATTGCCCGTTTGGGCTCCTTGAGAGCCCCTGTGTCCCTTGTCACTAGGACTGTTTATTTGCCGGTTCGCAGCGGCAGGTGGATTACTCTGAACTACGGCTTTTGGGTGCCCTTTTGGGTCCATCACACCTCGGCCGAGAAAAGGGACCGGAGTCTTCCCGTCCCTGCCACCAGAATTCATACTTTGCACTACTAAAACGAGGAGCATGGAGCCGACGTAGGGGATGCCATAGCGAATGCTGTCTCCGCGTTGGACACGAATTGTATGGGAGTCGGCCGAGGTAAGGAGATGAACAAGTTAGTTGGAGATTTGATAGAAGGGCAGTTGACTCGTATTGATTTGGAGGCCCAAGCTAGTGCGGAGTCCAAAACTCGACAGTAGTACTCTGGTTTACCTGCCGACATGGCTTGTCAGCGTACTCGGTCTCACCTGCTCGAGGATCCTGCTTCCCTCCTCGCTGATATACATAGTTCGGTGCTCAAGCTAGCAGTACTGGTGCCTTGCGGGCGGATACGTTGCGAACCGAGAAGAAACTCAATGCGATGGGAGTTGCCTTTGTGATGGTATGTGGACTTCTCGTTCCAGATCGGCCGTTCGTTGTCGTGATGCAGAGTCCATGCGCAGTAGTGCCGCTGCAGCGGAACATGCTCGCGAGTCTAAAGTCACCAAGGAGGCATTCTGAGCTGAGAGAATAAGCACAGCTCTCTCTGGGCCCCGATGTTTTCTATGCTACCGTACGTCGCATTTTCTACATGAGAGAAGTTTCAATGGGTTAAATGCTGGTTCCGGTTTGCTCAGTACCGCCTCTTTTTTTCACAAGATAATACTTCCTTCTAACATATGACGGTCTCTCCAACTCTACGGATATCTCGCTCACTAGGACGGCTTCCGTCAGATCCTGAGGCCTTGGTAGCTTTCGTAAAGCGGTCTGTATCGCATAAAGTGATGGACGCGTCGATGTGGAATGGCATTGCCTCGCGCTCGATGGCTATGGGAGACGTTCTTAGTGGGCATCAGTTTACTGCTGTGGTGCGAGGCTTCAATAAGATGAACTTCGGCCACAGCGATATGTAGGGCATCAACATGAGTTCTCCTATTTTAGAGTGTCTTCCAGTTACCCCTTTCTTGAGTCGTTCGTTCCTCCACGATTACCGCGGTTCACACCAATAGATCTGTCACATCTCATTGGTGGATATGTCCACGTGGCTCATCGTAGCGACGAGGGCTTTTTGAAAACGTGTGCTGATGATTTATCGTGTGATAGAAGGAAGTTGGCGAGCAGCGCGGGTAACGTACATGGACAGAACGACTGGTGAGCTTCTGTGCGAGTCGGCCTCTCCCTCGTTTGATGTACTCAGGTATGCTTGGGAGAATCTTTTGGTCGCGTACGGAGATGCAGGCGTGAAGCATAAGAAGCTCTTCGAGACGGCTGCGCCCAAGCTATATGATAGTGTCAGTTTATCACTGTGGTGGTTTATTGATTCAGTCGTTACATCAGGTCCATCTGTTGAATGGTAGGGATTGTGGTCGCATATTGGGAGCGCTTATCAAGTGTGGATTCGTACATAAGAAACTTGTGACGCTGATACGCAAAGCCTTGCCAACCATCAGCTGCAGTAAGTCCCGTCTACAATCCGCTGGTGTTATTGTTGCTCTCAGTGAACAGTATCGTAATTGACTAAAATTCACGAGGCTGTTGGTTCAGGTACGGAGGAGTTACAGGAGATTTGCCGCTTATTGAACAGCATGGGAATTCATGATGATTTTGCTGAGAAACTTTTGCGATATCGCAAGGCGGAAGTTTTAGAAGATGTCGTTTCGTGACTAAATCAACCGCTCGGATTGCGTTTGATCACAGTGAAACTATTTGGTCGCAGCTGAATGCTCTGACCGTCAATCGGGGAACGGCAGGCGTCATCACCATGAGTCAGGACTGGGGGAGAGGCCTGGAGTCCCCTGACCCACGGTTAGAGTGAGGGATCGGAGAGGGAGGGAAACGGATAGGGATGTCAGCACGAGAGGAGCGACTGCATCTAGTGGCCACGCCTTCCCCATTTCTCCCTCTCCGAGTGAGGCGGTGTAGGAAATTCTGGAAAACATTTTGGAGGCAGAAACCTTGTTGAACACGCGATAAAGAGAGCTGCTGACAAGGCACAGGATTTACAGTAATTTGGACGGTTTTTCTACATGAACATCAACAGCTCAACAGTTGTTCTCTAAATCCCACCGTGCCAAGGACTTGAACTCAAAGCAATAACTCGACTATCATCATGACAAAATCTGACAGTCCATCACCGAGGTACCTCTAAGACGAAGTAACCATAGGGAGACCCGCGAACCAATGTATACAGTACAGTAGCGCCTGGTAGGCCGCATGTATGACAGATATGCTCAGCTGTTGACTGCACACTATATTTGTCTAAATACTCGCTTTCACGATCCACACACAGCAGTGCTCTGGTGCTACCAACATTCGATTCTCGAGCACACATATCAAGAAGACAGAATTCCAGCATCTCTTTCGTCTTATCAACGAGCGTTGGGGTGACGCGGAGTCCATGGGACCATTGACGAATCTTCGTTATTATGCCATCGACTTCAACGAGGGACGGCCCGGCTCTCTCCCGAGTGAATATTGACAGTCTCTGGCAGACCATAAAACCTAAC